CACTGCTGTGCATCCCCGTTATCGTTTCCCCGGGAAATCTCTTTTTGCCTTCTAGCGATTTTTCCGCTTCTCCCGTGCCCGACGACGAGTTCGACGGTGGTGCAGCGGGTGAGGGCGAAGGACAAGCCGAAGTGTTTCTCCGGGACTTCGTGTGCAGATCGTATAGATCTTCTCTTCGGATCGGCGTGCGATAGTGCCCAATGATTGTATTATGACACGTATGGGAAAGAAAAAAAGGAAACAATCGTATCGATCGTCGAACAACAGATTCGACAAATCATACCCGCATTGAATTCGACCAGAATTATGGGCAATAATTAATTCCTACGAAAGTGTGGAAATAGTGATAGCTCCCGCAAGTAAGGCTACAAAAAGCTTAATTACTTAAATATGAATAAATAAATTTGGTCATAACAGATTTTTTTTATGATCTAAAATGAAAAAAAATGGAGTCTTATTATTATAAAAATAAGAAAAAGCTCAATTACTATAAGAAGTATTAGTAAATTATGTTATGATACATATTTTTTTATGCAAAAATAATTTTAAGTTATTTAATACTAAAAGTTTTTTTTACCATTTTGACTGTACATAAAATCCATTGTATCTAATTATTATTTTATTATTATTTTACACACATACTACTAACTGGAACGATGGACACAGAAAACACATTGTTTATACGGCGTATTTTTGTACCTTATCGAATGTTCGAGAATCTTCGATACGATCCCTAAAAAATATATATCATACGTACAATTTCCAGGTGTTTGTACAAGTACAAATTTGTACTGCAGCTGATAAAATGTTCATTGTGAATACATAATAATGTATATCATGTATATACAGGGCCGCATTTAGGGGGAGCATTGACTACAACTGCCTCGGGCGCCAGTTTTTTGGGGGCGCCAATATTTGATGGTCGGAAATTTGTTAACTTGTAAATTATTGAACTTTTAAAATTATTTTTTTTTCTATTTTTAATAACAGTATCATAAATTAATGTTAATGTATTTATAGTAATATAGTTATCAGCGATCCACAATATTATTAATATACCTAATATTAGTTCCCAAATTTGTTGTGATAATGTCATTAAACATAGTTATTTATAATAATATGGCGTATTATGTTATTGCGTGCGGCGTGCGGTGGCGTGCCTACTACCAGGGGCGTAATTTGGGAGGGGTAGACTATGGCAAATACCCCACTCTGAGAAATTTTAAAGAGTCAGCAATTCTTTATCCGATGATCACATTTTATTTCGTATTTTGTACTCAGAAATCAGATAATACTCTCTTTTAAATACACGTTCACAATTTATTAAAAGTTTGGAAACACTAGCTCCTCTCCGGTTTATGACAATCGTTATTACGTTATTATATATTTCTATATATGTGGTCTTTATGAAACAGTTTTCGTGATATCGATACCATAAGAATTGAGTTCATAATCTATAAAAAATCGTTAAAATCGTTCCTATTCACCCCAAACTACGGTATATTATATTTGAGATACAATTTTATTTTTTTACAAATAAGTTCTGTAAAACATTAAATATACAAATAATAAAATTATAAGTATTCATTTAATTAGATTCATATTATTATTCCATTAAATCTATTGATAGGTCACTTATAGCTAATAGGAAAAATAAATAAATTATAGTTTCACTATCTTTAATGTTATTATTTAATTAGATAAATTGAAACATTTCATATTGTTTATTTTTTATCATGACATCATTATTCATTACTAATCCTTACATGTTATATTCCAAAAAAATATTTTATTGATAGTGTATCGTTCACAAATATTAAATATTTAAATATATAGGTAAGCATAATTTTTTAAATATTATGAAATCGGCAAATTTAATTAATGGCTCCACCTTTTCAAAAGTTAAAATGACGCCCCTGCCAACTATACAAAAATAGTATTGATTTTAGAATATCTAAAAGGTTCATAAGGATTTATCTCCTATATTTTTCGTGGGTAGGCCCATTAGAGTGGCGCTAATTTTTTTTGCACCAGGACGCAAAATGTCTAAATATGGCACTGTGCATATAATGAACAATGAAACAGATAAAATTAATATTATTAGATATTAGTACAATGCAATTACACTGGATCGATAATGATAGTGCGTCGTGACAGACTATTTTTAAGTATTTGGCATTTATGTCATGTAGCTCCTATCTAAAAAAAATTCTGTGTAGGAGATTACACTATGTTTTAAATTCAGGTAAAAAGATCGTTCGTGTAAGAGTTTACATGAACCCAGAATTATAAAAGTTTTCATCGGACGCTGGTTTGTTTTCAACTCATTCGCACTAGTTATCGTATCGTTTTAGATTGAAAAAACACAACAAGTTCATGTCGATCGACGTTTCGTTTGGTACGGGACTTCCGATTAATAATTGCATTGCACTATGGTGCTCCGAAGAATTATTAAATCCGGCGCTGATCGAATCTTTACGCTCCGCGACAGCATATATGCATTGACAATAGAAAGGACAAGATTGGCACACGAGAGGGGTTCCGATATTAGATCTTGTTGCGCGAAACCATAAGTGTTTTATTCTATAAGTGTAGTGCAGTACCCTTCGGGAAACGATCCCATCGTTAACCCATGGCATTAATTTTATTACGAGTATATTTACCGGGCCACAATATTTTTTTTATTTTATTTATAAAATCGACGTAATCTTGTGTGAAACACAAGTAGAACATATTATTCAGCAAAATCAAAGAGAAAGAGAAACCATTTGTGTTTATCTGAATTGGAAATCAAAAAAAGTCAAACGTCAGTTATATACGGCATCATTAATATATCCTCGTGTGAGTATCGTGTAGAGTCGCGAAAAATTAATCGTCACACGAATAATATAAATAATAACGAACGTTTTTACGACCACGAAATCGGACAAACAAACTTTCTTCTTTATCAAACGCATAGGAAATATTACTATTTTTCTACAGTATATTTTGTGCCCTTCGATTATTGATGATAAGATGTACGTACATCGTTCGGATGGTCTACACACAGTATAACATGACTCTAGGGGCGAGAAGAAGAAACAGATCAATTATCATGGATAAATCAAATGAATCAAAAAACTTTTACAGATACTTAAAGTATAATACAATCTGTTATAAGTAATATAAACCTGATTTATAAAAATATATGAACGTATTTAAACGTATAAAATAATTCCAAAAAAAAAAAATTTGAAAACAAATATTTTTTTATAATATTGCGAAAATCATATTGTATAATCAACTATGAAAATGTATCAAAAACTACATCTGATAAGTGATTTTATCGGTTTGTAAGTGTATTAAATTCTTATAATAGAACATTTTTAGTAAACGCTAACTAAAAATTATTCAAACAACATTTTAATATAAACGGTATAGACATCAACAGACTCGTGTTCACTTTTTTTTTATTTTTAATTATCATTGCATTTTTTAATCTACTAACGTATTCTAAGTATAGACGCATAAGTTATAATATATTGTCTTTAGCAAATATTTGAAGTTTTTATTTTCCGAACGGGTTTTTTAATTCATAAGAAATTAAAATTGTTTTATTAAACTAAACAATTATATTTTTAATTAAATTAAACATTCAATTCTATAATTATTTTTTCATATATATATACCTTACGTCTTACACTTATGTAAGACAAGGATGTCCACTCTCATCAACTATATTTAATATTTATGTCAAACAATTTATTTAATAAATAAGAGAAAGACTTTTCAAAAATAATGTGAGTATAAAAATTGGCGGAAAAATAATATCCTTCTTCGGATTCGCTGACGACATTGCACTCCACAATGAAAATGATTCAGAATAAGTACTAGAAGAGACGAGATGATGCTCTCGAAAACATAATTTGACTATCAACTGGCAAAAAAACTTAAGTTATATAATGCGTCAAAAATTAGACCGAATTAATACCAAAACAGCGATCCGGTTACTTGAACTAGAGAATCATTTAAACATATTGACAGTTCAACTAACTAAGATGGTATAGGCACCGTGGAAACAAGATCCAGAATCGCACCGATACTATCGGCGTTTTTTGGAATAAGGAGAAATGTTTATGTTCCGATTGTATGTGTGTACTAGGGCAAGGAAACGATCCACAGGAGTGTACGTATGTGGTGTAGTGCTGCACGGTAGCGAAACCTGGATATTGGATAAAGTAGAAAAACGAATACTCAAAAGCTTTGAAATGCTACGTTGGAGAAGGATGCTGTGAGTGAATTGTATGGAGATATCATAGTGACGAAAGCGTTGTAAACGAAATAAATGAACGCGGAGAGACGCTCAAATTCATCAAAGTAAGACGACGGAACATGATTGGTCACGTATTAAGGCACGTTATCGAACTAGTTTGCATAATAATAGAACGGGAAATCGAAAGTAAAATATACCGAAAAACGTCCTAAGAACTCCGTTTGTCGAACAAATGATGCTGGACTATCAAGTGCTACGTGGGGCTGAAGAGGTTAACCAGGAAACAAGGAATAGCGGATAACGCATATCCGGCTGCAAAACCAACCATAAGGTTGAACACGAGAAAGAGATACTTAACACGTCATCTCCTACAAAATGTGCCAACTGTTATTATTGTTAGTGTAACAATGTGAACATATTAGCTATACGAGAAATTGTCTATACATATTCCGATCGTATTTAGACTTCGTGTATGATTATGGTTTAATTTCATTCTCTAGTTAAAACATAAATTTCGATAGTAATTAAATTCAATTAGGATTTTTAATATTTTCATTCGCACTATCAAAAATATTCGTACATCGATATATATATATATACACATAAATATATTTATTTTATAATCATTCATTAAATAATAATAGTTTTATTTGTAACATGCATTTTTTTTTGCGATTAATTAAATCAAAAGAAACAGTACATTTTCTTAGGAGTTAAAATTGAAAATAATAAAAAATACACATTATTATTCATTTTCATTAAACTCAATAAGTTAAATTTTTTATTCAAGCAGAATTAATGAAAACAATAAAACCATACATCAGTTTGTGTTCCGTGCATTTATCTGTATCTGTTTACTTCCTCTTTGAATCCATTTCCACTATCTATACATTTGTTAAGTAAGTAGTTTAATTCAGTTTTTTCTAAACATTTTCCTGAAAACAAAATATAAAATTCTGTTACAAATATTTCAAAACGATATTCTATAACACAAATAAAAATGGTTTTAATAAAAAAAATGAGCTATCAAACATCTCAAATGGTCAGTATTTCCAAGAGGTTCAATATAATAAAAGTTTGAATTCGAACTTAAAAATATGTATTTGTAAAGTAGTATTTGAGAATTATATAAGTATAAATACAGTTTAGCAGGTATAACCACATTAATGAAAAAACAGTAGTTCTAAGATCCGATATTAATGGATATTGAAAATACATGTGTTTTACAAATTATAAAAACGTATTCTTTGTAAGATAGTTTTTACCAAAATTATGTTTTTTTTATTTTAAATAATTTAATGCATTAAGTGTTCATATGTATTTTACTTATTATTTGGATAAAATAACTGTACGAGTGATAAAAAACAACTGACCTATAAGAATTATTCTGCTACCCGGCGGTACTTCTGATAGATTGTTAGACAATTCTTGGAACTCATACATGTCGTATACACTTTGTATCATGGCTATTGAACCATCAGCGAATCTGATTACGCCCTGTAACACATAATGCATCGTGTAACGAATATAGCATTGTACATAAATTATATAATACATACGATTAAACAAACACACATACACGCGCGCGCACCCCGAAATTAGATAACAACTACACCCTTTGCATGTACAACTGCAGTATTAAATTAAAAAAAATAAACATACGAGCCAATGCTGTCTAACGATCAAATGAAAAATCAATCAAAATTCAATTTACAACTGTACACACACACACAGATGGGAAGGTGGGGGAGAAAATTTAATACGCAATACGCGTGAAAGAAAAAAGGATTAACAGCATAATATCGTTCGCTCTCTATCTCTGACGGTGCCGGACAAACACATTATATAATGTGTTACACCAGTTTGTTTTCATCGGTATTTGTACAGTACCGCATAGTTTTTAATTCGGGAATAAGAGCTCGAAATGAAATTCTTTATCCGATCCTTCCACTCCTAACCGGTCCTTGTTTGTGTAACGGACCCTTCGCTTTTGGGCGTTAATCACGGTTTAATTAAAACATCAAAGGCCCGACCAAAACTCGCATGGCTGATCGGTAACGCCTCTGTGCGCTGTAGTTATACAAATCGAGCGAGTTTGACGAATTATTAACACCGAACCGTACACGCGCCGATAAAACACTTAACGAGCCCTCAGCGGTGATCACGTGTCGGAAATCGGTTTAATTCGAATTTGCAGGGCGATCTAAACGAACCTGGAACCGCGGATTGTTGCGCATTACACGACAAGATCAATTTATATACGTTGTATACTCTCTCAACAAGCACTGCTACAAGAGTTCACTGTTTTCTGTTTATGGGCCATCGACACGACTATATAACCGAGTAACATAATTTATCTTAATTTTGAAATAATAACAGTAGGAAAGACTAGTACTAGTGTAATAGTGTATTGCCTTATAAAGTAATTTATGCATTATAGGGCCGGTAAAAATGTAGTTAACAATTACGTCGTGCACACGATTTACTAGTTATTGCAGTGAAAATTGGTTTTTCTTTGATTATTTTCTATTATGTTGTAGATAACACATTGTCGACGAATAACTCAATTAATCGTTTTTAACTCAAAATATATTGTTTCCTATCGTATTGTTTTTTCCTAATAATGGTGTCGTTGAAATAAATGAAATCCTCAATCAATTGTACCGTATAAGTATGCGATGGACATTAGTATTATTTTTCAGTGGCAGCTTATAAAAACAAATAAAATTACTATTTTACTTTATTGTTACTTTGAGTTGCCAAAAAATAAAAGTTCCGAAACGCTGCAGTATAATATAAAGTCGATCTGTAATAAAATGCGACCGAAATAAGAATTAAAAAAATATATATTTACGTATACACTATGGGTATATTCATATTAACATCAAATTAAATTTCAAGAAAAAAGTTTTAGCATCGAATATAAATAAATATCGATATTTAAAATGATAAAGTTTAAATTTCTTAGAAACGTCACTCACAGTATAATAACTAGGGCCCGGATTTAAATGCACTTAAAACCATACAAATATGCTCTAAAAAATAGCCAAAAATGTCCTTAAAAATGACCTTAAAATTTTTTATTTTAGGCATTATTTAATTAACTATTTAATACATTAAAATCACAAACACACGTAATACGATTAATATCTGCGATGTAATACGAAATGACTGATTATTTGTTATTTGACCGAATACTGGTGACGTTCCATAGTCTATAATAAATTAAGATAAGATGAAAACTGAATCGAAAAATAAAGATTGACAATGTGTATGGAAAAACCCGATAAACCTAATTAATATCAAGAAAATAATTTGTCTTTTAATTTTATTTTGAATAGTCTAAATTTGTTTAGTATATCGAACAAATATGCATTAAAAACTAATAAAATGACCCAATAATACTAAATATGCTCTAAAAATGAAAAAAACATCGAAATATGCAAAAAAAATGAAAAATAAAATTTTTAGTTTTGAAACCCTCGTTACATGAATCGAATTATGTTCTTAGAGAGCATTGTGTATGATCAACCAAAAAAAATATGCAATTTTCATTGAAATCGGGGCCCTAGTAATAACTAATATCCTCAATATTTTTTTTACTACTGGACCGCAAAGCATCCGAAAACATGGTTTTATCCGCACCGCTCACAGTGGATGATGACAAGTTAATCAGAAATCGAACGGGGACAAATTCTGTAACAATTTATGTTAAAAATTGAAATTGGGACCAAGTGCAACAAATCTTCTTCTGGGACTAAAATCATTAAACAAATTATTAATGTAAAAAGCACATAGATTATTTACAATACATACTTTCTTACACACACAAAAACGCAAAATAGGAAAAAAGTGAGTATAATGACGGCGCGAAAGTTCAAATTTCTACTGTGAATATCCTGTGCTGTATCGCGACGACTTTTAACGCGGGAAACGATAGTAAATACATAACGGAAATATTTGTGGCGGCTGACGTTCTCGCATCACACAATCGTTCGGCGTGAAACTCTCTCCTGAAGCATCAGCAGCAGTAACTCAGATGGGGGGGGGGGGGAGAGGAAAACGTAACGTCTAACATCGAACACGTTACGAGAGGGAAAAAATTGAAAAATAAATTCAAAACCGTCGGTGCAACGATACGGTAAACGCGACGGGACCGCAGCGGCCGTGTTGCCCGCAAACTTCACTGCACGCGTCGTACACAATATAACGCGCGCTCTTGTAGATCGCGTGTAAAATACACGTCAGTCAGTTTAAAATTTAATAAAAACATTTTGACGCCCGGCGAAAGCGTAGGCAGCCTGACAAAAGCATTCCTTTCGCGCGTGCCGGTTGTTCTCTCCTGCCACCGCCACGTACTCGTCGTCGTCGTTGTCGTCGTTTCCCTCGTCGGTTAAGCCGCGCGTGAAGTGCGAATTTTACACACTTGAAAACTCCACCAGCTCACCACCCCCGTTCCTATCATCATCTCGTAGCTATAACATGTACAATGTAAATTATACACGATAGGACATGTATACGTGCCCGTTTTATAATGTATACACATTTATGCTCTTTCGGCTCACGCGCGCCCGCACCACCCCGTTCCAGTTATTAACACCACGTTCTCGTCTTCCCTCCTCTTATTATTGCTATTACTATTATTTCCGACGAGAATCGTGCTGTGTACGGGTTTTTTTCACGTGTGAAACGAAAACAAACGTTTGATTTCGTCGCAAATAGGATATTTTTTTTAATTTTTTTTTTTTTTTGGTTATAATATAAAAACATTTTCTAAACACATTACTATACTGCTGGACTAAAATCATGTATTAATTATTTTCTATTTAATATTGAGAAAATAATAAGCCAATATTTACACCGTACTACACATTAAAAGTTAACTCGTTGAAATTGTTTTTTTTTTTTGTTGAACCCACACATATCAGGAATCAGTATTTAAATTTAGGTCTCAAAATGAATTGTTAAAAAAATATTTTATTTATACAAAATGTATTTAAATATACTTAATAAAAAAGATTATACGATTTAAAAACAAAACTACGTTTAATTAAAAAAATATTGATTCTTTAGTGGTAAAATTACTATAAACAGAAATTAATCATCTAAAAGAAACTCGAATACACTCAAAAAATTATGTACAATTCCAGTTTAAATACAATTATTACATTTCCAGTAGTAGTTGTTGAACTTAGTGGTTATGTACTTGTAGAATGTAAAGAACTTTCGTTAAAACCAACTGAATGACAAGTGTCGTATAACGCCAGAACGATGAAAACGATGGAATAACATTTAGGTCGAAATGGTGAAGTATTTGGTGATGGTGATGGAAAAATTAGCGTGCCAAATTTAATATACGCGTATGTTATGATGTCTGGTTGAGACATAAAAAAAAAAATAAGAAAAAGAAAAAGAGTGAACAGAAGGAAAAAAACAACTACGTAGACTGGGTTTCATATAAATATTATGAGAGGACTATGCACATTCTTGGTCGACTTACGCGGCACCAACGCGGAGCCTTTGCATTGTCTGTTTATTAGATTTGGTCGGCACGAAATTACTATCAGGCCTTTTGCTGACTTGCCCATAAAACATTCGGAGAATGCAAATCGAAAGCTGTCCGTCGTATTATCACCCTTCACTCCAGTTAAACTTAACACATATATCACCATGACAGCGCAATAGACCGCATGTTTCATTATTTGAAATACAATTGATAAAATTGTACTTCGTGCGAAGTGTGAATAAAAGATATTTCAAACTTAAAAGTACATTTACTTTGTATTTATTTACTTCGTGTTTCAATCGATGATTTATAATAATAACTATCGAAATTCGACGATATTTTACACAACATATACAATATTGAATGACTTGTATAGACCATTTAGTCCAATACAATTCTGCAGTACTACTCAGCTAAAAAAATTAAACATGTTCTCAAAAAAACAAATTAATTTTTAGTTTTTTATATTATCTAGAACAATGAACGAATATATTATTTAATAAAATCATAAAGTCTGAAAAATAAAAATTTAAATATACATTAAAAATAGTTGATTTCATATTAGTGAAAAATATCATTAAAAATCAATAATTTAATTTGCTCCGAATAAAACAATTTGAAAGATTATTATAAATTAAACGTTTTTTTTTTTTAGATCTCTAGAGCTTATATTGATACTAATAAAAAAATAATATTCTAAATCCATATACTCAGTTTATAATGTTCATTGAAAGTGTTATGATATTAGTTTAATTAATGAAGTGTTCGAATTTCAATGTTCATAAACTGAAAAAACCTTGTTCTCATAGTCTTTTAAGACATACAATATATTTTATTTACATTTAAATTTACATTATTAAAATTTATTTAAATGCGTTACTATTCGAAAAGAGTAAAAATGATATACTATCAAAAGGAATATCGAACAACCATTTTGAAAGTTATGTTTCATAGTTATTTTACATAAAATTAATAAGTATAAAAATAATATAAACGAAAATATAGTATCGTTTAAAATTAAGGTATAAAGGCTACAATTACATCAGAAATTTTTATATCTAGTGAGCTGAAAAATATCGAAAAAATTAAAAATTGGTTATGTATTTAAATTGTTAATAACTTTTTTCTTTCATTGTAATTTATGTATTTAACTTATTGCCGAATTAGGTGTCACGTACATGAGTAGACATATTGATGTTGATTTATAACGGCCATGTTAGAGTTATTCGCGATATTATCGCATAATGTCGATCATGTTAGAATTCGGGACGATAATGTCGATGTGCTTGGAGTGAAGTCGTTTGTGCAAGGTATGCAGGCTTTAACAGCGAGGCGAATTCCTTCACGGGTTTTTGTAGGTAACACCCAAAAATTAAGAGAAGAGGGGTCTACGTGATGGCAAAGGCTTATGCTGGCCACAAACCCCTTTTATTATTATTACACGGTCGTTGGATACCGAATATTCCTACTTGTTCTAACATCGTTTCCTTATCACGTACTTACACGGACTACTCGTCGTAGATATAATAAAATATTACGTGTGTACATAATAATATATTATATACTTAGATACAACGCTCTTTAATTTCGTTTTAAAAAATATTTTCCTTCGAGTAAATGAATTCAAGAAAAAATTTAAAAAATATACATTATAGGATTAAAAAAATTATTCGGCATAATTGATAAGTTGTAAACGCATAAAATTTTGTAAAATAATAATGAATAGAGGTCAAAAATAATTATAATAAATTTTACATGTCTGTAAAATTATTTATTTATTTTTTTTTATCCAGAATATTATTTTAATTCATTATAGTATATTATAATCCTTACCTTGTGTCCTTAATACAAATAATAAAGTTGATCAAATACTATAAATTTAGAAAATCATTTGATTTTTAATCGTGTTTATGATTCTAGAGTTATGCTAAATCTACAACGAAAATCGTATTTATAAGTTTATAAAATAATAAATTAAAACATGTATAGATTTATAAAATTATATTAAAATAATGTTATTTTATACTTTTTTATTACATGTTTAATACAATTGATATACGAGTATACGAACATCAGCCAGAGTAAATGATTAACTGACTTTATTTCAATAATTGTATTAAATAATTTTTGAAAATCATTCAAAGAAGTGTAATGATCTATACTTATAGAGATTTTTAAATAGTTATTATTCCAAGTTTAAATTAATTTTTTTACTCTCCATGGAGTTTCGAGTAATACAATATTTTTTATAGATATTAAATATTATAAGTTAAAACCTAGTGTCTATTAAAATTTAAATTGTATTTATATAAATTAATTACCTATTTCCATTACTGTACAATAACTAATAACTAATATAACTTGATAATAAATATGATTATATGTTTACCTATCTATAATACTACCATAGTCGTGCACAGACCCGTATTTCAGGGTGTGTTTACAATACTTTTGGGCCCTATCCTTACAAAACGATTAAGTATATTTAATAAATTATAGTGTATCAGGAGCGGATCTAAAGGGGGGTGAGAGCGGAGCGTGAATTATTAATATATATTATAATAAATAAACATTTTTTTTATTTTCTATTAAATATTGTGCTAAATTAATCTTAATGAATATGTTTTCCTCGAATTTCGTATATTTTTCTCATATATCTTCGACTATTTATGAATTGTACTTTTGTAATCACTTTTAGTTGTTATATTATTATAAGAAGTTTTTACACGAAAATTTAGAAAAATGTTTCTATTACAAAAAAAGCAACACCAGTTAAAAAACGGGTCCCTTACTATTAGATTTCAACTGTAGGGCCCCACTTACAAAATTTCAGGTGGTACTCGGACACCCATCCCCGTGCGTATGACTATGAGTAATACTATTTAATTAAGTTTTTTATTTAATTTAAATTATTTATAATATAAAATAAATTATACTGAAGGGTAAATATTTTACAAATAACTATAGAATTAAATAAACCTAACTATTGTGATTTATTTATTTATTTTTTTTATCTATTAACTACAAATAAACAATAATAAAAGAAATAATATCATGAAAATTTCAAGTTTGTATAATTTAATTCCGATTTTAGTTTCATATTGAGGTAGTTCAATATCATCTATTTAAATATCGTATAACTTAATATTCTGTATTGAAAAAATTGGGACTTAACGAAATATTTTGATTTAAAGTTTTACAAATGCTATAAGACAATTTGTTTACAAATGCACACAGAAAAAGAGTGAATGACAAGATTGGTTTCCGCGAGGGTAAGGAACAGTTTTGAGATATCTTTAAGTCTATTTACCAATGCCTGTTTACGGTTTTGCTGTCAAAGCAATTTTATAAAGGACGTTTCTATCCAGCAGGGTTCATCAAAGCCATTGGGGGAGCAGAGTAATCCGCAAGCTGAAACCCAATAGTATATATATTGAATAATAACTACAATACGTAGACTTTAAACCGATGACAATGAATAAGCAATTAAATTATTGTCATAATATTTATTGATCTTACTGTAGTTTAATTTTAGCGTATAGTACTACGGAAATAAAATAAATTGTATTATAATACATCAAAATGGTATAAATTTAATTCAGCGAAGTACAATATTTTATTTAAATTTAAAATAATATTTTTAGTAAGCAAAATAAGCGTTATTTTGTTTTTATTATTTAAATAATTTATAGAGATTACATATTATCAATCATTCAGAACACATTCTGAATCAACGAGTTATTTAACATCTATAACTTTTAATCTATTGACTATTTATAACTAAAAGAGTTTTATTAAACTGTTTATTTATGTAAGTATACTAAATGAGTAATCAATTTACGTTAGTTATTTTACTGTCAATATCAATGTTAATGTCAATTAGGTAAAATATTTAAAATAACTTTAATTTTTATGAGGATATGGTACTTAATATACTTAAAATATGATAGAAGTAATTTAAATTAAAGAATATATTGAGGTTTGTTTAATTATACATAAACATACATGTATATAATTTTTTAAAAAATGTCATATAAATGTGTAGTTAGTAGCTAAGTTGTTATTAAAAATAGTTCTTCGAAATAAATGTTATTAAATTAATTATAAAAATAAAACATAAAACAATCAAAAAATCAATTATGCATACAGATAATGTGTAGTATTTATTAGATATTTTTTCAAAACAATATTAATATTAATTAAGAAATTCAATTTTCCAGAGAATTATGTAATGACATAATAGTAATACATACTATTACTTCTTACGAGTCATAATTACATTTTATAAGTTCTATAACAAATGTAGAATCCTAAAATGAAGCTTTTGCTAAAAAAAATTCGGTTATTTTTTGTGTTTCAGACTGTCCTAAAATAAATCTAAATATTTTTATGACAGTGATACATTAACAAATAATTATTTATAACTTTTTTCCAAAAAAATAGTAAGCTGTAATTGAAATAAATACATTTTACTCATATATGAGATAAAATATGGTTTACAAGTACAAAATAAATTTATTATTATCAACTATTGCAGGCGATAGGATATAGTCGATTTTCAAGACTGTCATAGGCTACCATTAGAAGATATCGTACTGATAACATTTAAATACGTTAGAGTTTATATATTTGATCAGCGCATCGAAAAAAAAATCTTGTTCATACACATTTAACCATGTTAATCATGCAATCGATATACAATGGGAAGACGATCTGGGAAGATAAAAATCGAAAAATTATTTGTTGATACTCAAACCTGTATGTATGTCTGTGTACATATATATATAAATAAGGGCACAATTTGTTTACGGGGATGAAGTCATAACAAGGGTGAGGAGCGTATGTGTACACACGAGTCTACCTGATCCACGGCCAATTGATTACATCTGGAACGAGGATTAGTCCTTTATAGAATTAAATAGGGATTTATCAACGAGAAAAAATATAGGAACACACAATGGGAGCTGTCTACAACAATTAAACACGAAAAAATCGCAAGCACACATATAATATAAATGTGTACGTAAATGTTTTGAGGGGACGGGGACGATGGCTGAAGAGTAAAAAAAGAGAAAAAAGGGCAACAAACATTATTCTCTAGCAAATAAGGCCGTTCGCGCGCGCATATGTGTATACATGTGTGTGTGTACAAAAGGGTGAGCCCCTGCAGGATATGGATTTCGAACATGGATGGAACAGCCGGCCATTTCAATACGTGTTGTTGACGAATTGTAGTACAATAGGATACGGACTGAAATTATTACGATAAACGAAAATATTGTTCTCCGTGTCTACACCCCTAAATAAAAAGTACGTAACACGTTTCAATAATAATTATTGTTTCTTTGAACTCTTGTATACGAGGAAATAATAAAAAAAAAATTCGGTTATGAAGCAATTCATAAGGTAGTTCTTATATTTATATATACAACGTAGATTTTCAATAGTTGTACAGGGTTTTATTATATACAATTCAAGAAACTTTAAACTTCGCAAATTAAAACGGTGTTTTAAAAATGTTTCATGTTTTCATTTTTATATACAGTTTATAACAACTAGAATACCTAATCTTTAACATTAATTGTTTATACAATAATTGTATAAACAAAAAAAATATAAAAAAAAAAAAAATAAAATTAAAAAAATTTAAACAAAAATATATAAGTACATATTATAATTATTATAATATGTACCTATATATTTTTGTTAAATTTGAAAGTATATACATGCAAATAAATTTAAATTAAATCAGAAACAATAGAATATTGAACGTATTGCCTATGAAATAATGTAATATTGATTGCAGACTGTCTGGTATTATTATGTACGATTTAAGTGTATTATATTGTATTGTCATATATTTAATACTCACTTTCATTCTAATTATTTCTGCAGAATTTCCCCTCGAATCTTTCAGCGTGTTCTCCCATAAGATCTGACAAATAAAATTGTCCAAAGATGTTCTTAAAATGCCATCGGTAACTTCTAACGTAACAGTACTGATGTTCTGGAAGTACACGAAAAGTTTGTAACAGGTATGAATTAAAATATTATAATAAACATGTTTCCGTAAATTATATAGATGTATATATACTTGATGTATATGAGTCTTTCCTTCAAAACTTTCCACGTTTCTTATCATCTCATCCACCCTAGAAAAAATTATAATATGTGAATAATTATAATGCATAATAAAAGTAGAACATTTTTCTATAAAATTAAATTATGATTGATAAATTGTTTAGCATAAAATGTAAATAAATCAATCCACAATTGTCAAATAACAACAATATAGCGCAATGGACTTATCGGTGGGAGTTATGGTCAAAAGACTGATGGAAAGTCAAGACCCCTTAGGCATGCGACCACCATCACGACTATTTAGAGGGATCAGAGATAAGCCTCAGACTAATAGGGTGTTTTTATTATTTTATACGATTATTGTGACCACCACATTTCGTATACGAACTTATATATGTATATAGTGATTCACTGTTTGGAGACCCGAAATATTCAATAATAATAATAATAATAATAATAACAATAAAAATAATTTATTTTCCTTAATAACGTACTCGTGAACATTTGGAAGTCATAATGTTGGGTTTCCGATCTAACGAATCGTAAATTTTCTAATGAAAGGGATAAGCGGGTTTATGACACTTATGGCACGTTTTTAGTAGCACCTTTCTCGTGATATTGGTTCAATTGTATGTGATCTATAAAGGAGGGTCACCAATACTCGTATTAATATTTCATCCTTAGTATTAGTTTGTTTATAATATTAATATTATTTAATAAACAATTTTATAGTGTTTCGATATTGTTTACAAAACTTAATTTATAAACAAATCAAAAACAGTTATATCATATAGTATATCATTGAGGACTGTTATTAATTTATTAATAATAAATATTATTAGTAATATTATTAATTAAAATATTATTTACATTTGTTTTCATAACAATAATCATATATATATTTTTTTTTAAAGACAATAAAATATATTATATTTGTATTAAATAAGTAAACACAAGTAACGAAGAACATAATATAATATCCCTTACTAACTTTTATAAATATTCTAAATTAAAATATAGTCTTAACGGATTTTTGTTAGTAAAACATATGTTAATTTAGTTGACAATAATAAATATACATTTGATCTCTTTAAACTGATGATAAATTACACGAAATGTATTAATATGACTTAAAATGTGTGTAAGAAATGAGAACATCATTTATAATCACAATCTTTAACTAAAAGATACATACATTTTTTTATTAAATTTTTTAAATTCTATTAACAATTTTCGATTGTGTAGTAAATTCACTGATATAATAAATTGTAGTGGATATAAGAAATAATATTTAAATGTATTATCTTAAGTACCAGCTTTATAATATGTCAAGTTAAAATATATTACATAAATATCAAAAACCGGATATAATATGGTCAATAAATTTACATATACATAGTTAAATATAAAATAAATTATTTGCTAAACTTTCTTTTTTTTTTTTTTATTAAAAATGTTATCTTTACTTAATGAATAAAAAACAATTATAACCGAAAAAGTTTAATAATTATTATGAAAGATAAAATGTCGTCGGTCAATAGCAAATCTGATGATAGTCATGTTCAGAATCATAACTGTACACGAGTAATACGTTATTTTTAAACCAGAGCAACGGACTTTAGAATTTTATAATAAAATGTTTAAATAATCGATATCGTGGTGAGGTTGGTAACGTGTTCAAAATAATTTTTTTTTCTTCTAATCGTTAAGGTTTCTGGAAGTCATGGACCCTCGTTTCCCATCAGTCATTGATTCTATGGCATATCTTATTTTTAAACGTTATCTCGTAAAACGAATAATAATCATATAACCATAGTAATAACGACAAAAATAATAATAATAATCGATATAAAGTGTGAAAAACAAATATATATACATAAATAAATATAGATGCGATTATAATAAAATTCAGCTCGTGGGAGTATTATGAAACGTCGAACGATATCGTTCATAACGGCGGTACGATTAATGGCAGTACCATAATATTGTACAACTCATCGTGGACCGCGACGAAAACATTGTGCTTTCGTCCGACGGAAAATATAAAAATAATACGCGTGTAACAGGCACGCGCGTTCGGCCGCTAGACCGCGGACAAGCCTCTGGCGCGGGTATACGATACGCAGCGTAATATTACGACAAGACGGAAAGCGGAAAGCACATGACGCGTTTAAGGCGATAACAACTCGGTCGGAGCAGATGCGCCAGTGTACACGAGCGGCTCGCACGTGACGTGCATTAGCTCCGTGGTGAGTGCGGGACCGAAAAGGGTTAATTATTTATAGGTGGTTTAATAACGCGAAAGCCGGTCGGTAGCGGCGACGGATGATTTTCCGCCCCCGCGATGCTACGAGTGGGGCCGCGTTCCCTTTTCCGCTCTCTTGAACCCATTTGCACCGCTGCTGCCGCCAATGGTACGCGAAATATCGCAACGGTTTTCCCCCTGTCACCGAGTCATTGTAATCGTAGTCAATACTTTACCCGCACCGTTGTACGCACGCAAGCACACTAAGACAGTCCCGTGCTATCAGTGCCGAGTCGATCGGGGGTACACTGGCCAGTTTCAAGACGAAACGGACTTCTTGTTTGTTATTTATTACTTATAACACTCTTAGTGGCCGATCTATAGGAGGGGGGGAGTTAAAACCCTTCAAAAATCAGGAAAAATATAAATTAAAAATCAATAATTTTATGAATTAAGAAAAAGATTTTTTTTTTTTTCTAACGAAGGAAAGTATACAATTTGTATTTGAATTTATTCATACGAGAAATTAGTAGTCTTAGATTTAAATTAATATATTATACTACTTACTATTATCTTAATTCATTACCAATCACTGGCTGTAATGTTGTAAAAAATATTCCAAGGGAAAACCTTTTTGTATGCACGTTTTGCATACTTAAAATTTTTTATAAAAATTGAGTTTTTTCTTTCTTAACCGGTTTATTGGGTTAAATATCTAACCTGACGATTTTATCGATATAAAAATTTTCTATCAAATAATCATGGGTCATTTCGAATCTAAAACCTTAAGAAAATGTTGGTGGTTAAATGCAATAACTTAACAGGTATTATAATAATATTATTATATAATACATGAATCATTTATTTGTTTTATTTTTACCAACAATTATTATTTCTTCGTATTCATTTTGTTTAGATACGGTTTTAATTTTAAATGAATAATACTTTAAAAGTAGTTTAAAAACAAAATATAATAACTATTATGTACTTTAAGTACATAATATCAAAACCGACTCTAAAAAGAATTATGGGAAATTTTTAGTTTGACAGATGGCAGTGAAGTGTTTAAAGGGTGTGTTACGATGAGGGTGGATAATTATATTTGCTTTATTACACGGTTATTAGTAATCTGACAAGTGGTCTTATGGTTACCCATAAAAGTGCATTCACCAGCATTATATCAGAAAAACCTGTCCTTATAGAATCTCCGGATAATATTAGGACTTTTGGCTGTCGACATACTTTATAAAAAAAGCTATACTTACTCGATATAATTATAATCGTCTCATCAAGATTAATGTACTATAGAAAATAATAAAACTCACTCGTTTCATCTAGTGGCATATTATCTATATATATTAAATTATTTACTTCAAGCTTTACTATAATTTTAAAATTATTTTTTTGTAATTAATAATTTTATTATTTATATATTTTCTACAAATGTTGCTCATTAATAAATAAAGCACGGGAATTTATATACATTAAAAACCAACCAAATATGCGCTAAAAAAGTTTCATTTATTAAATTGTTATGTTATGAAACAAATTGTGTGCTCACTTAGCATATGATATGATCAACCAGAATAAATATGCAAATGCATTCAAATCCGCTCTCTATTAATAAACTACTTATTCTAAGTTAAATCACACATCAATAGTTAATACTTAAATTTAAATATCATAATTTGCTTATGTAATTGAATAGTATCAAATACCTTAAACTGTTGGACGAAGAATAGGATTTTAAATCCAGAATTTTATTCAAATCAACTCTGAAAAGACATTAAACTATTAGTGGATAATCTTAGTGCCAATGTATAAAATATTAATTGATGAATATACATGCTAGTTGTTGTCTCTACAATTTCAGCACTTGCATTGATAGATCTAAATAAAACAAAAACAAATACATTTACAAATAGAAAAATAAATGTAAAAATAATATGAATTTTATATATAAAGTTAAGAAAATTAGACAGATTGAAGGAATTTATAAATTTAAATGCACATATAAATGCAAGTAATTTTAAAATGAATTATTATTACCTGATTATTGTCTTCAGCGCTACTAATGTACTGATATTAACCAAATCGATTTTGTTGAGGAGAATAATATCGGCTAATGCAACTTGTCTACAAAAAATGTACAAATTAGGAATGTAGGTACTTTTAACGGTAGTGTCATGAAACAGTTCATTTTCTTTATCAATGCACAAAAATAAAAAATACATTTCAGATACTATAACGTTGTTTCGTTTGCCAATAATACAGATAAATTGACATTGAGTATAAGTTCATATACACACACAAGTTGTTTATATATTCCACTACACATAAAATCGGGCTGATAGTTTTAAAATTTGATTATGTACCCGAGACGGATCTTCGTTTCCATGACGTTGATTCAATTTGAACATATTATTCTGGGTCCCGTCGTTTTTGCATAATAAACCCAACAGAGCATGTACACGTAATCTATTAATGCTTGTCATCAGAATGAGTTTATCCGTTTTTATGCAATTATTACAAAACCTACCGTAATAATCATATAAAAAAAAAAAAAAAAAAAACAGAGAAATGATGTAGACGTTGATAATTCGAAATTTTACTTGAATGTATATATCAACTAAACACAGAAGGCAAAATTTTTAATCAAATATATTTAATGTTGTAGTATTTTATTTAAAAAAAACTTCACTGTAATTTACATTGTTATTGTATGTATGTTTTAGAATACTTTATTTTGTTATATAGATTTATATGATATTAACAGATTTATATCATATATAACTTCATTAAATAAAATTTAAAAAGTTTATTCTTATATTTTTAAATTCTTTAAGTATAAGAAATCCGAACTTTTTTTTATGGATTTAAATTTATTTTATGGAAAAAGTTTAAACGTTTATTCCTTATATTTGTAAGCATAACTTTATTTTTTTTTAAATACTATATAATCTTTGGTTTTATTATTGCGTATAAAACAAATGAATTCCTTTATTAAATAATTAATAGAAAAAAACCACTTTGACAGTAATTAACGCTAATTTAAAAATTGAATAATATTTTTATCATTCTTCTTCTTTTTCATCTGGCCTTTAATACTCATTAAGAGTTTTCACCACAATATATGAGACCATCACGGGATCAGCCATTTTTATTATACAGAATTTAAATTTTTGAATTCACATTAAAAACATTATCATGAAAACAATGTGTAAAACAAGAATAGAACCATGTCAAATCATCTATTTATCTAAATTTGTTTCAATGTGGGCAAAATACTTAGTTACACAAGTTGTATAAGAAGAAGGTATACACTTCAATACAAATACGTAATTGAAAAATAACAATAACGAGGTATACCAATCTATAATATACATGTATGAGATTTTCATTTGTTCTATTTTTAAAATATTCTTACGACCAATGAATAATTTTAAAATAAATCACTCTAAAAGTGATGATGGCGAAATATTAAATTTTTTGACAACTTATACTTTATTTGTTAAGGTAACTTTGGAATTCACTACTGCCACGTGTCATATATGTACATACAGGATATTAATAAAAAATATTTAATGTATAAACTACGGTCCAATTTATGTTATGTTGCACACCCAAAACCCAATAAGCTTCGAGTCTTTGACACGCCATGTGGAAACTATATTCACCCATGAAAAGGACAAAGGGTCCGAAAAAAATTGAATAGGAATGTGCTTACCTAAATGCCCCTAAGGTGAGTTGGAACAAATAGTAATATATGTTACATTATTATACTACATTACAAAGACTTTCTACATTAAGTTATAAGCTCTATAAAGAGTTATTACATTATACTCGGTATTGTACCATTTTCAATGTTAATATTTATACGTTTTATATACTTTCAAATACTCATATTTATAAATAGAAATCTATACTTTTTTAACATAAATGTCATTGTTTAAATCACCAAATGTAATAGCTACATGTATATTAAAATAATATTTAGAATATAAACTAAAATAAGACAACATTTATTTTCAAAAAATAAAATTTAATAATTCGATGTTTCCATTAATAAGAGCATACAAATTAATTGCATTATAACATTAATATAACGTTTATATAACGTACATATAACGTTAACAATTAACAATTAACACCTTATGTTTTACAAATATTTATTCTAGAAATTATTTCTTTTGTATATTTTCTTCGATTTACTTAAGTTATTTACATAATTATTCTTTTATTATAGCGTTTCACTTCTATAAAATAATTATTAGTACACATACATACACAAAGTAGCGTATTCAGGGGGGGTTAGAGGTTTATAACCCCCCATCCGAAAAATTTTATTATATGATTATTTTTTATTGATTATAATAAAATCACACAAAAATTCCAAAAAATGTAATGATACATTTTTTATCCCCCTCCCCTTCCTAAAAGAAAAAAAGAATGATGGATACGCCACTGCATACACACAAACATATATGTATATATATTACTACACTATCCACAATAATAAATACGGTTTTTTACAGTATCATATTAACCATGCTATTAAACATATTAAATACATGAGTAACAATAATTAGTAAAACGTTACTTATTTTTATTTATTTTTTATTTTTTATATTATAAATTATTGGGCGGTGGTAAACTCCCCGGGTCAACATTATGGTTGCCTGTAGGAAATGTATAAACTTTCTCTCGAGTTGTTTTAAATATTAGTGCTACACTATGAATTGGCTATAGTAAGAATGTATATAAGTCGTTTCACTCAAAAACCGTCCAATTATACCCGGGAGAGTTTACCATTGGAAGATTTTGCAGGTCATTAAAATCAGATGATTTTACTATCGCCGAAATTATTATACATATAATGTGGTGTAACAATAGGTATATAATATTAAATACCAATAATGAACTAGGTACATCGAAACTACAATATAATTACAAAAATAGTGGTTACAAAAGATTATAATAGGTATACTCATATTATGTGTTACATTATTAGAAATTAAATATTGAAGAGGTAATTTACGGATTTTGAAAAATAACTTTTCATACGATGATAGTATATGAAGGGCCCAGGAATCCCACATCTTACACCAACCAGGGGAATTCAGGGGTTATAACATCCCACCCCCCCGAAATAAATACTGGTTGCGCCACTGCACCTATTACCCGTAGATTTAAAATGGTACACAACAACTTATTAACTTACTACATATTATACAAAAAATTTTACATTTACACATTTATATATATAAAAGCAGTTTTGGGACTTATCTAGATAAATTATCTAATTAGATTTTTTGTAATCTTTTATCTTATTTGTCTGTATTCTTGCCAAGATATATATATAGTTACTTTTATTCTTGTACGGAGACGAATCCAACAAATCAGAGATCATCAAAATCGATCCAGTCATTTTTGAATTACAAATTCTATAAATAACCTGAGTTTCTTTTATACATATAGATTTTGTATTCATAATCATAATTCGTGTATTATTAATAAATAATTATTATTTCTTGGTACGACATTGTGTTTGTATTTTCATGTCGGGAAATTTTTTTTGGCATTTTTAAACTTAATTTCTTATTTTTTTCATGAAAACTCCAAATATAGTAGGTATTTGATTTTAGTATACACAAGTAACTCATACGCTGAATTACTTCACTCTTGGAACCCATAAAGTCGTAACTACTTATAGAATAATGAAAACCATCAAATCAATATTATATGGAAAACAATATTGTTAACTTAAAATAATTTTTTATGTATTCTATATTCATCCTGATACGTACAGAGCAATTTTCATTTTTTTTTTTTTGTGTAACATTTTAGTGATTAACTATCATTAAATATTGTACATTATACATAAATACTGTTTGGTATTAGTACTGGAACACTACATTACTAAAATAAATATTGAACACCTAGGTACCTATTTTTTATTTTACCTATTTTACCTAGTTAAGTTTAATAAACTGTGGGCCAAAGGCCAAACCGAGGTGGTTAGAGGCCCCCTGTTTCGTTGTTAATTTAAATGTAACTACATTATGTATTTTATATGTTGTTTTCAATAAACGATGGTAATGCCCCGGACGCAATGCAACAGCAGACCCTGGGG